CTCAACAGCCAGACGTCACAGAAGGACAGACAATTGGAGGCAATAGCCACTGATGAGAGATGGATATGGAAGTGAGCAGACAGGCTGTGGGGAGCAGAGGGAAGAAGAAATTCCAGAAGGAGCCAGTGACTGCTGGTATCTGAGGCTGAGCCAGGTGCTGGATTTGATCAATTCACTCTCGGGAGAGGACGTCTCCCCAGAGACAAAGGCTTCATGGCCCTGTGGTGAGGCAGGTGCACAGCTCCCCTGTCAGTGCAGACCCATCAGCGAGAAGGCGGCAGCATCTGCCTGGCCCAGGCTGAAGTGGGCTGAGGGGTAGAGAGGCCATATTCATTCCTTGCTCTGCCAGTCTGTGCCCTCCTGACCTAAGGTGGCCCCTCTAGTCATCCTTCAGGATCTGGCCTGGTCCCTTCTCCTCCAGGACTCTGCAGAGGCCATTGAGGAAAGCTTCATTCCAGCATCCACAAGCTGCACCTGTGCCATGTGGACTGTGGCTCTTTCATCCCTGTGTAGCTGTGGTTGGGGATTTATTTCCCTGTCAACCTGGGAGCTCCTTCAAGGAGCCCGGGACTGTGCACTTCACCTAGAGTGTTTGGAATGAATGAGTTAATTAATCAATTAATTAATGCTGCCCTGGGAGGATTAGGGCATGCTCCCCACCATGGGTTGTGTGCTGGCTCTGGCCTGTTCCCAAGACATTGTCCCAATCCTACTCTGTACTGCAGCATTAGCTTGTCAGACTATGTAGCTTAAAACCTAAGTTATATATTTACAGAAGCAAAGAAATTGATTAAAGGAAATGCTGTGGACAGGAACAGCAGTTATTAATAAGTCATAACAAGGCTGAGTCTCCAATATGTTGGACAGAGCTACTGGGGAAAGTCTGGGCAGCTAGCCAGGGGCCTGGAGAAGAGGGGCACAAAGGAGAAGGCACAGGGCCAGTGGGGATCCCCAGGTGCAGAAATAGGGATCAGGTATCTTCAGGCCAGTTACAGCTCCCCACCAGGGGCCAGCTCCCCTTTTCCCTGTGAATTGGCTTTCTGCTTCCTGCAGCTGGGGGCAGGCTGTGGGGCTTTGTCTATTGCATTAAGACCTATAGGCCAGTTGTGCAGTCAGACACACAGGTGGTTACTGCTCAAGTTGCTAGGCTCCGGTCCTGGGCCCAAGAGCTCCGCCTTCCTGGAGCAGCCACACCTGGACAGAGGGCATCTCCAGATAGCAACCAGCTCCAGCCCCAGGGCTCAGCAGCTCTCCAGAGAGTCTGGGTGCACTGAGGCATCCCTGAGATGCTGTTGAGCTCTTCCCATGCACCCACTTACTTTGCACAGAAAGCTGTAGGGCTGTAGGATGAGCAGGTGCACTACTGGTGGGAAGAGCCAGCTTCCCAGCCATGCTGCAACAGAAGACCAGGGACAGAGCCATGTTTATGGCCTGTAATTTTCCATTGCTTTGATTCCCAGTGCAGAGCCCAGAGAGGGCTGGGCAAACATTTGTGGGGAGCAGCAATTCTAAGGAGCCCTTGTGCATTGCCTGGGAGGAGGAGAAAGAATTCGAGACTTGCAGTGGAGATCTGAGCTCATCCACCTGGAGAGAATCCTCCCTCCTCTCTCCTCCCTCCAAGCCATCCACTGCAGCCAGGTTAGAAATTTCAGATTAGAGCTGGGGATTTATCTCAGTGGTGCAGCACCTACCTGGCAAGCATGAAGTTCTGAGTTCGATTCCAGTGTCTCAGTTATCTTTCTCTTATTGCTGGGACAAAATACCTGACTCCTAAAATTAAGGAAGGAAAGGTTTAGTTCAGTTTGTGGAGGTTTTATTCCATACTCAGCTGGCTCCAAGGCAGAGTAACATATGACAGAGGGCAGTCATTCCCAGTGGCAGAAAACAACAAAGAGTTGGGGAGTTGAGGGGAGCAGCAGCTGCACCTTCTAACAAGCCTCTCTCCCCTCCTTACAGTATAAGCAGGCTGTTGTGGGGTGGGGGTGTAGAACTCACACAGTGTCTCTGCCCTCCTCTTGCACAGGATGAGGATGTTAATGAAGAACCCTGGCTCCCTGCTGAGTCACTTAATTATACTTTTAAACTTCTCAACTGGACACAATGTTTCAACCAGTATATCCAGTCCCTTGCCCCCCCCTCAAAAAAAAAGAAAAGTAGAAAGACATTTTAGGTTGGAATCATGGGCAGTTAAAGAAACGGAAACCAGACACTAGCAAATTAACTTTACCATTGATTGCAGATCCACTAAAGGAGTTTTAAAGATAAGCAGATGGACACCCAGAGAAGAAAATTCCATAAGCAAAGGGACACCCCTGTCTCCTCTCCTTTTTGTCATGTGCAGCATCTCCACATCCCCAGGGTGTGACATAACCCCTAGCCTTGGAGAAAGATGTGCTAGTGTGTGCGGCATCCAGCCCTGCACTGTACTGGCCAGCTGGAGATTGGGGAGGATATAGAGTCAGGGGAGAGGCAGAAGGCTCCTCTGGAGGCTCTTACCATTGGATCCTATCGGGCATCCCCCGACACACACACACACACACACACACACACACACACACACACACACGCTCGTACGCTCGTGCGCACGCAACTCCTCTCTTAAGTCTGCATCCACCCCAGGAAGACTACAGAGCTCACAAGGCATCAGCATTGGATACCTGAACAGGAATGGCTGCCTTTCCAGGGCTGTGAAAAGATTTCTGGGGAGGGCAAGGCTTGTGGAGAGTGGAAGAGAGGTCAGGGAGCCCCAGGGCCCTTCAGATCTCCAGTCCCTCTTCCACCCAGGGCAACCTGTTAAATGAGTGGCAAAGGGAGCCAGCAGATGACCCATACAGAGTAGAAGCCCTATAAAGGGTTCTGCCTGATTAACACAAACAAGGTAAGCTGGGGCATTTACTAAAGTATGGAGTATAAAGACTCAAATTACATTATACTGTGTTGGTGGTGATGGAGAAAGTGTGGGTAACGTGCTGTTTTGGAAGACAGCATGCAATGGCTCCTACAGAGCCAATGACCATAGAAAGGTTCACTTCTTCTGCTCACATAGACCACTGTAGGCAGCTGAGCTTGTAGAAACAAATTTTGCACAGAGATGTTCACTGCACTGTTTCCATTTTCCCAGTCATCGTCACCATAGCAACCCATCACTTTCTCTCAGGTATGCCAAGCACTCTCCTTGGCATGGCTGTCCCCCTCCTTTGGGTGACCCTGGAGGGTGAGGTACTGTCACCTTGTATGTGTCCAGTATGCTTATCTTCAGCCAAGGGTAAGCAGAATCCACAGAGCTGGCCTTGATGCAAGCCCATGCCTATGTCTAAAGCCTATATTTCTCCACCTGAGACCCAGATTGCTTGACTGAGATCTCTAAGGTTGGAAAGAAGCAAATAGCAGGGTGGAATCTCAAGGTACTGAAGGGTGGTCCTGGGTTAGGATGAAGGGAGAAAGAAGATGCTAACTGCATGCAGTCACACAGGGTGGGAGGGAAAGCGTGGAGCTAGCTGGAGCAAGGCTCTGCCCTAGTGTAGGCCACTAGTGGCTTCAGAGTAGCTGTGATCCCCACAGGAGCTGGACCACGCCATGCCCCCAGGCTTCTCTGATCACCCCTCCTTGTGGTCTCTGGAAACCCCTAGAGCCCCAGGGATCACCAAACCCCTCCAGAGACAGCCACTTTCCCTCTGGTCCCAAATAGCTAAGGCCTGTCTGGCATGATTAGTACCAACTTCCAATAGATGACGACAGGTGGTAGAGGGAGAACAGATGAGATCCTAGACCACGTCAGCTCCCTTGCTGCCAGAGAGAAGTTACGACCACTCTCATTAACCCCGCTGTGGTCAGAGTGCCACCCATCCAAAGCAGGCTCTGCGGATACCCCACTAAATCTAAGATCAGACTTCAGGGTGTAAGGCTCAGACAGAGCTGGGAACCCTAGGCTCAGTGGTGTCCTCAGACAACAGCTGAGTATTGGGCTATGTTTAAGGCCGTGCTAAAGATATCATCCTAATAATGTGTCCCGTGATTCTGTCTGACCACCATGATTTCCATCTATTTGCTGCCCACACATGTAGAACTGGATATGGTCTCATTTCCTCCTGTCCCACCCCTCCAGCTAGAGGAGCAGAAAGACAACCATGAAGGTGGCTATCAGTCATGGGCCGGGCTCCCTGTCCTGTTTGGGGAGGGGCTGACTTTCTGGAGAACATTCTGGAGGAAAGTTCTATGGTGGGGACATCATTTTGGGTCAGGATATATAGGAGTTCACCATACACTCAAAGCCAGGGATCTGATGGAAGAGAGGATGCAGGACAAGCCCATCTAGGACAGCGTGGGTGAAATGCAGGGTAGTCTTTGAGACCTTCAGTAATGTTATGAAGGAAAGACCTTATTCTTGCACACACATGCATGCACACTGAGACAAGGCTATGTATTCCAATCAGCAGTCAGGATCCATGCTCTGAATTGCAAGTCTGATGACATTTTGACTCAAAATTGTTCCTCCATGAGGAGGGGGTAGAGCTGGAAAGAACAAAAAGTTATCACCATGGCCGGTGATGAGCATGCTCCCCTGCTGAGTACTGGGCCGTGCAGTCAGCTGAGGAGAAGGAACCCAGCTGGGCTTACAGGTACCCAGTAGGTGCTGGGATAGAAGCAAGGCCCCTTGCCTCTTCCAGGGAGCCACCAGTGAAGCGCTTCAAAGAGCAGAAGCAGGAAGGTGCAGGGAGGTGGTGGAGTCTGGCTCCCCCAGAAGAGGGGCTTCACTGGGAGGATACAGTTGTGCCTTGGTGCATAAATGAAGAAACCTTGGGAAACAGCTTCTGCGATCCTGGGGACTGCAGACTGTTCACCTCCAGGAGCCATGGACGGATGCTGCTCAGGGCCTCTGCATGCTCATGTTCAGCTGACCCAGACTCCGAAGCCAGGGTGCCAGAGAAGCTGGGATGCCGAGACCGAGTGAGGACTGGCCACAGGTGCACCAGCCTCACCATGTGTGTTCTCCTTTTCAGCCCGCTCCAAGAGCCTGGTGATGGCAGAGCAGAGCCGGGGCTCCGGGCAGCTGCTGGGCCCCCGCAAGCCAGGCCCTGTGCTGAAGGCCGGCTGGCTGCGGAAGCAGAGGGGCATCATGAAGAACTGGCAGCAGCGCTGGTTCGTGCTGCGTGGAGATCAGCTGTTCTATTACAAGGACAAAGATGAGACCAAGCCCCAGGTGAGGAACACCTGTCCTGTGTCCTGTGCGTGGCAGGCCAGAGTTCAAGGAAGGGCTCGCTATGCCCAGGTTGTGAGGCAGAGACCTCAGCACCCATGTTTTACTCTTATCCCCAAGATCCTGACATCATCGCAGCTTGTTATGCAGAAGCCCATCCCTAGTAAGGAGACCACTCCCTGTGCTGTGGGTGGAGGGCAGCCTCAGCTCGAGGAGAGTACTCCCACGTCCTTTCCAGCTCACTCCCCTGCTCCCATGCCTCAGGAAAATGGCTAGGGACAATCTGACCTCATGGGCTGACCTCGGAGCCCTGAGTCCAAGGCCTCCATTCACAGTGCTGTTTCCTGCCAGCACTGGGAACCCACCTTGGGACCGAAGGCATCTGCCTGTCCTCCCAAACTGTGCTGAGTTCTTCCACTTCATGTCCTCTAGCATATATGGGCCATGAGGCCCTGTGACCAAGAGGTCTGCATGCCACCACCCAAGACAGTGGGGCTAACGGAATGAGGCAACCCCATCCCCAGGGCAGAGAGGCATCTGGCATCCACAGACTCCACTACTTTAGATCAAAAGTATTTAAGAAGAAATAGTGTGTCCACAGCGAACTTGGGCAGCATGTTTTCTTGTCTTCCTTAAGCAACACAGTCTAGCACTGTTTGTAAACTCACCAAGTATTATAAGCAATCAGGGATGACTTAAAGTATGCAGGAGGAGCTGCAGAGGTTAGATGTAGGCGCTGCACCGTGTTACATAAGACATCAGTACCCACGGGCCTCGGCATTCGCAGGGGTCCTAGGCCCAGTTCCTGCAGGTGGCAAGGGACATCTGCTATCACGCCTTGGGGAAGTAGAGAAGGGATGTTAAAGGGAATGTCCCAAATGGTGCTTCTGGTCCAAGGGCACATCTGTGCACGTCCCAGAAACCCCCTCAGTGAGGGGCTGGGAAGGGGCAGCGGTATCTGGGTACAAGACAGAGAATGTCAGGTTCGCAGAGAGAAAATAGCTCTGATGCCTCTTTCTTCTGAATGTGTCCAGGACGGAGTGGCACTGTGGGTGAGCACATTTTGCTCTTCTGCAGTACTTTCCGTCCTCCCTTCAAGAGAAAGTAAGTTTGGAGGGAAGGAACAGGCTTCATTTCATTGCCTGCAATTGGTGCTGGAATCATGTGAGTTAGTAACTCTGCCTTCACTGTATTTATTCCCGAGGTTACCTCTGTTTATGGGAAGTGATTCGGGCTTCTGCTCACAGCAGTGCTACCAAGCTTGCCTTTCCAGGCCATACCTACTTTAAAAACAAAGACTATTTCATTGCACTGTGAGGAGGCTGAATGCTACTGAACCAAACTATTAAAAAAAAAAAAATGATTAGTGTGGTAAGGATGTGGTGGTACACACATGTCATCCCTGCTCTGGGAGGCTGAGGGAGGAGGAGCAAAAGTTCAAGCCCAGTCTGGGGAATTGGAGGATTTAGTGAGATCCTGCCTCAAAAAGAACTGGTGATATAGCTTAGTGCATGAGCCCTGGGTTCAAATTTTATGTTACATAGATTTTACCACAATAAAAAATAAATCCAGGAAAACTTTCAAATAAATAATAGTGCAAAGACCTAATGCTATTATGGGCTACTGGACTCTTTTAGAATATTTTGCTGAGTTTACACACCTATAATATTCAAATAACGGAACTTAGAAAAAAAGGAGTGTACAGATGAATGTCTATTTTGTATCCGTGTATTTAAAGTGGTTAGGATAGATATATAGTTACATTCTCTTAATGAATAGAATGATTTGTTCTAATAGTGTTTGTAAATAGGATCTCAAGGCCTCATCTTGTACAGCAATTAACCACTAAGAAGAATATATGCAGTGTGTTAGTTATTGAAACTGTCCTACCGATTTGATTTGAAACTGTCTCATTGCTATCTGTTTATCAATAAAATTATGAAAAAAATAATAGTGCAAAAGAAAGTGTGATAGAACAAAAAAACATGTGATTGGACCTAAAATTAAGAAGTTTAAAGCAGATCTGAAAAAGACCAGGAAAGCCTGATCTTGCCCAGTCCCACCTCCAGAGGAAGGAAAACCACACCCACACCAGTTTGTGGGACAGACAAGAGCTTTGAACCTGATCAATCTGAATGTATCAAAGTCACATGTCACATACTAGCTGTTTGTATGAGTTGGGAGACCCACTTAACATTTTAACTTCAGGTTTTATTTGTAGAACCAGACAATCTTACGTACGTGATGGGAGTTAGGTACATACCTTGCACGTAACCAAAGGCGAAGCCAAGCATGCTGGGCGCTTAACCTGTGCTGACGTGACCCCCAACTGTGCTTTGGCCTTCAGCTTACACTATTTCCCTTGTGGCCTCTTTGGCCCCTCAAGCATAGCCTGGCTTTCTTAGCTGGCTGGTGATTGGTCACTCTGATGACCATGACCAAAACTGCCAGGATCCTCAGCCTTTCAGAGCCATGCCTTGGGCAGCCTCAGCTCTTAGCCCCACCCCATGTCACTCTCAGCAGAGTGCCCTCAGTAGCTACTCTGGGGATCCTCTAGGCCTGGCTGGCACTACCAGGCCTTCGGGGCTGTTATGTCTCCAGCAAAGCCAGACTCCACAGCAGCCCCATGCATAGATCTCTAATCTCAAAGCAGTGATGCGTCCAACTGGACTCATTCGTCAGACCCAGTATATCACCAACTGCCTGGCACAAGCTCCCCCACAAATTTCTACTTAATTGCATGAACTCCATGTAATACTCTAATTCTCAGTGCCTGCTTCCTGGAAAAATATGCCCTGCTCACTGTCCCAGTGACAGCATGCCCTGGTAGTCAGTGCCCTCCTGTCAGACAGCCATACCAGCTGCTGTCACTGTCGGAAAGAGGGACAGCCAGCACTGTGATGCTGCCCAGACCTCCAGAACCATGATAAACATCACAGGCCTCATGCCCCTTGGTCTCTACCAGAGCTTTGCTCTTCTCGGTCCCCTTTGCAGGGATTACAGGGTCAGGCCTGGGAGAAAACACAGTCACCTGCAAAAGCACTGGCACCAGCTCAGACAGAAGGCTCCGAATGTGTGACGGCACTCCCATGCACCTTCCCCAGGACACATCCCAGGGTTTCCAGCAAGTAGTTCCACAGTGAAGGAGTCCATGAGTTTTCGTCTGAGTGGCCTTCACTTCTGCTCAAATTGTTTGCTTGGGCCTGGACCTGCCCCCAAGGCACCTGCTGCCTAGCACGGCCTATTCCATGCCTCCAAGACTCACTTTCATCCTCTCAGTACTTGACAGTTTCTTGGCTTGGATCGAAATGGCAAGTGCAACCTCCAAAACCTAAGATGTGAAAAGTGTCACAAAGGTGATCCACCAACAAATAGGAAGGAAATGGGGAGAAGGAAAAAACAATAAAGCGATGTAAAGAGAAACAAACGGATAAGATAACAAGAATGTGTACAGGCACTTCAGCTGTCTGTGCGAGTTTGAGTCAAGCCTGGACATTAGCAATTTAGTGAGACACAAACTAAAAACCAGAAAGGAGGGTAGGCCAGGTGTGAAGGCACTAGTTTCAGTCCCTAGTACAAAAAGTGAATAATCTATTCCTTCAAAGATAGTGAGGGGCAGGGATTTAGCTCAGTGGCGCAGCTCCTGCCTTGCAAGTGTGAGGTCCTGAGTTCAATTTTTGGTACAAAACAAAACAAAAGAGGGTGAGAGGTGAAAGATGTCCGTATGAGTCCTGAGTGGGAGGAAGTGCCCCAAAGATGTGGGTGGCCAGGCTCAGAGCACACCCTCACAGAGGGCAGGCCCCTTCTGAACACAGCAGTGCCACAAAAGCCATGGATGTCCAGAGGGATTTGCTTATCTCGCCCCAGCGCTTCTATGCAGAACACAAACATTCAAGGGAGGCAAAGGCCAGTGAGCCAGGGGTGAAGGAGTGGGGTCACTGCCATACTCCCAGGACCTCGTGCAGTCTGGGAGTCCCTCTTCACAGTCTGATTGTTCGGCCAGGGGCAGGAGTCACTGACGTGACACGTGCTCACACTGGCCTGAGCCAGTCCTTCCTGGGTGCCTTCCAATGCTGCAGTCCAAAGAGCAGACAGGAAAGTTGCTAGGGCTCATCGCAGCTGCAGGCCGGAAGTCAGAATTTCTGCCAGTCCTGCATGGCACTGCCTGCCCCTAGCGGCATGGGGCAACTAGATGGGCCAGCCTTTCATTTCCTTTTACTCCCAAGGCCCAGACAAAAGAGCAAAGGAGGAACATTATAATGGTCCCCTTTACCCATGGAGTATATATTCCAAGTTCACAGCATATGCCTGACTCCTTGGCAAACTTCTGAACCTTCTACCTTCTAGGTGATTTTCCTAGACCTGTGTGCCCATGATAAAGTTTAATTCATGAATTAAGCATGGTAAGAGATTGGCAGCAATAACTGATAAAATAGAATCATTAGAACAAAATTCTGTAATAAAACTGTGTACTTTGGGGCCTTTATTAAATATAATAAGGGTTATTTGGACCCACACACTGCAATATCAACCTAATACTCAAGATAGCTACTGAGTAACTACAGGTAGGGGACACAGTGGAGATGCACTGCACAGAGGGGTGATTCGCATCCCACGTGGGAGCCAGCAAGGCCACTTAAGATTTCTTCAAGCTGCTTAGGGTGATGTACAACTTCCAACTTACGATTGCTTATTTCTGAGTCAGACATGGTGGCACATGCCTGAAATCCTAGTACTCTGAATCACAAATATGAGCCCAGCCTAGACAACTTAGCAAGACTCTATCTCAAAATTTTGAAACATTAGAAATTAAAAAAAAAAAAAGAGGCTGGGGATGTAGCCCAATACTAAGGCCCTGGTTCAATTGCCAATCCTGGAAAAAAAGATTATTTATTTCCAGGATTCTCCATTTAATATTTGCAGATTGCCATTGGCCAACAGTAACCGAAACTCTAGAGAGTGAACTGGAGGAGAAGAGGGACTATCATATTACTAAAGCAGCG